TGGGTGTCCGCTGAATTTCCATGCCCAGAAAATAATGCAAATGACCTAAGTCCTTCATGGAGAACTTGTGACCAAGTCGTTGAATAAGCTGAAAGATATGAGAAGGGTTATTACCTGTAACAAGGATGTCATCAACGTAGATCAATAAGTAAATGACAGTGGACCCATGAAAATATGTGAACAACGACGAATCTGCGAGGGATGCTTGAAACCCTAGATCTTCAAGATGGTAGGAGAAACATTGAAACCAGGCACAGGGTGCCTGTTTGAAACCATATAGTGATTTGTGCAAGCGACATACATGATTTGGAAACTGAGAGTCCACAAATCCTACAGGCTGCCGCATATAAACAACCTATGCTAAAGAACCATGTAAGAAAGCATTCTGAACATCAAGTTGTCTGATAGGCCAGTTGAAGTGAAGAGCAACTGAGAGGACGAGGCGAATGGTTGCATGAGTAACTACTGGACTGAACGTCTCGTCATAATCAATACCATCTTGTTGGTGGTAGCCATTGGCGACTAATCGAGCCTTATACCGCTGTATTGAACCATCAGAATGTCGTTTGATCCGATATACCCATTTATTGGGAAGCACATTCATGGAGGGAACAAAGGGAACCAATGACCATGTTCCAGTGCGTAGGAGGGCATTAAACTCTTCTGCCATGGCCTGGCGCCATTCTGGAGATTTGTTAGCCTGGGTAAAACAAGTAGGCTCAAGCACAGGATTAGTGACAGTAGAAGTAAATGCATATTTGGGATTAGGTTTGTGAATCCCATCCTTGGCATGTGTGGTCATAGAATGAGTAGGTGGAAGGATCCTCTGAGAAGAAGAGGATGTAGAAGGAATGTGACTTGCATTCGTGGGTCCTAGAGGAGTGGATATAGGAGGAGTAGGGATAGGTAATATTAAGGGAGGGGTAGGCGTGGGAGTGACGGTTGAGGGTAAAGGTGGTGGAGTAGGGTTAGGAGGGATGGGAGGTGACTGTGGGCGGTATGGGAGGGATGGACCTATGTCTAGTGTCATAGTGTCGGTGGAAATGGTTGGTGATGGAGACACGGGAGTAATGGATTCTTTATATGGGAAACAAGTTTCATCAAATACAACATGACGAGACACAAAAAAATTTCCTGTAGACATGTCAAGACATCTATAACCTTGGTGATTTAAATAGTAGCCAAGAAAAACACAACGTTTGGAACGAAACTGAAGTTTATTACTATTATATGGTCGAAAATATGGAAAACATGCACACCCAAAAACCTTTAGGAAATCATATTGAGGAGATTTGTGAAAGAGTTTTTGAAAGGGAGAGTCATTATGTAAAACCTTAGTGGGTAAACGATTTATCAAATAATTGGCGGTATGAAAGGCATCATCCCAAAATGATGTGGGCAATGAGGAATGGGCAAGAAGAGTGAGGCCAGTTTCAACAAGATGGCGATGTTTACGCTCTGAAATTCCATTTTGTTCGGGATGATGTGGGCAAGATAAGCGATGATGAATACCATGATGAGTCAAGAAAGCTTTGAAATTGTGACTAAGATACTCACCTCCCCCGTCAGTTTGAAAAAATTTAATGGTGGTATTAAACATATTTTCAACTAATTTCTTGAAAGCAACAAATGTAGAAAAGACATCATATTTGAATTTTAATGGATACAACCAAGAATATCGAGAGAAATCATCGATAAAAACCACATAGTATTTAAATCCATTAATTGAAACAGTAGGAGAAGTCCATACATCTGAATGGACCAATTGCAAAGGACGATTTTGAAGTAGATAAACTAAAAGGTAACTTGTGACTTTTGCCCAGAGGGCAGGACTGACAAAATGCTCTTGTTACAACGCCATTGATAGGCAACTTATTGCTAGAAATTAAACTTTTCAAAACATGAGAAGATGGATGACCTAATCTAGAGTGCCAAATGGAATTGGACACCCTAGCACCTATGAATACAGAGACTCCTTTAGTGCATGATGAAACTGTTGAGAAGGGGTAGAACCCATTGTTACTCCGGCCGTGGAAAAGCATCTTCCTCGTGTGAAGGTCCTGAACACGATAGGCGTGTGGGAATAAAGTTAGAGAACAATTATTATCAGTGGTGAAGCGATGAATGGAAATGATATTAGTGGATGCATTAGGGCAAAGTAATGTGTTTGGGAGATGAAAAAGGGCTTGGGGTGTACGAATGCAAGTGTTACCAACATGAGAGATTTTCAAACCTGTTCCTCCAACGACACCATTCACTTGATCAGTACCATGATATGGTCGAGCATTCGTCACCTGAGCAGGATCATTGGTTATGTGGGCATTGGCTCCAGAATCGAAAAGCCAATTCTGGATGGTGGGAGCACTGGCAGCATAAGCCTGAAGCTTTGGTGCTGGAACGCGCCCTTCATAGGACATGTTAAGACGGTTGTAGCAGTCAATTGCGGAATGGCCATAGCGAGTACAAATTTGGCATTGAAGTCTGCCATTAGGAAATGAGGTCTGAGAGGGAGCAGAACCAAGAAGGCCATCAGGTTGGCGAGATGGAGAGCCATGGGATGATCCGTGACGGGAAAATGAGCTACGACCGCCATTGCCACGACCTCGAAACCCGGAGGAGGAGCCACGGCCTCTAAAGGGAGGAGATGGACGACCACCATTACGGGTGGCTGCAAATGCAGTAGGGCCGGTATCTGCAGTGAAAGCAGAATGCATTTTCTGGCGGCGTTCAGCACCAAGAAGGAGTGCTTCCAAAGCACTGTAGGTAATCGCCTCGTCACGGGCTTGGGCTGAGGCAACCGTGCTTTCATAAGCAGGACCAACATTATTAAGAATGATGGCAATGATGTCCGAATCTGAAACGGGAGCACCAGAGAGAGAGAGTATCGGCAAGACAATTAATCTTATCCAAGAAGTCAGAAATAGAAGAGTCACCTCGATGAGTATTCATCAGCTCACTTCGAAGCTGAAGGAGACGACCGGTGGACTGCGAAGCATAGCGGTCACGTAAGGTCGTCCAGGCAGAATGGGAGCTAGTTTTCCCAATTAAGGCAACAAGAATAGTGGGGTGAACGGAGGAGTTAATTCACGACAGGACTGTGGCATCTTGTTGAACCCAGATGTCAAACGCAGGATTGACTGCGTCAGTGAGGTTACCATCCGCATCTTTCAAGAATACAGAAGGACATGGACTGGTTCCATCGATAAAGGAAACAAGGTTTCGGCTACGAAGAAGTGGAAGCATTTGAGCTTGCCAAACGGGGTAGTTGGTACGATCAAGTTTGATGGTGAGAAGATATGAGGCATTTGGGATGGACAGAGAAGTAGATTGAGAAGCCATGGGAAAAAAAAATGGTTGTGTCGTGAGACTTTCAGCTCTTTGATACCATGATATGGTTTAAACTATGTTTATAGAGACTGATTTCATAAACTCAACTCAATTGAATTCAATCCTCACTGCTCTTCAACAGCAGCATGTTCTTTATACAAGATTTACATACACGCATGCAATAAACAACTACCAGAAAGTGTTTGTCTAGCTGTGTGAGTTTATTACAATATTCTTCTGTCCATCTTCATCAGCTTTATACAATATTCTTCTGTCCATCTTCATCAGCATCTTCGACAAGGTTTCATGGCTTCCATTTAGAATAATCATTTCAAGTCAGCAGCACACGGCTTAGCAGGACATGGCTCAGGTAGTTCGAACTGCATGGATTGCTGACATGGAGTGGTGTGCTGTCCTGGAGGAAATGTAGGTTTATCAGAAAGAATCACCATCCTAAACTTATGTACATAGTATTTGTTTGCTAATTTCGTTCAAAAGCAAGCAACAGAACAGATAAATTTACTGACAGAAGAGTAGTATTAGCAAACTCTTCCAATCCACCAAATAGCAAGCTTCTCCACCCTATCCTCCCCAAAACGAAAGGAAGTGCATACCACTTTTTTTACACAACTCACACAAGTTTTTATGAGACCCACTTTGTAATATATTTTAACAATATGTACCGTCTATCTTTTAGGTCTTGTCTCAAAGATCATTTTGATAAAAAATCACCCAAATCTGAAACCATATGACTGTAGGAGTATGGGAGATAGACGATTTTGTGGATCTAACTATGACGTTATTTAAAGATGATGAACTAATGTAGTTACGGTGCAATTTGTTTGTTGTTTCATTTCCTTCTTTGAGTAGATAATGTTTTGAAGATAATTTCGTATTTGATCTTTGTATTGCATTTGATCATATGGTAATTTTATCATTCATTGTTAATGGTCTTGTCGAAGCAGTGGAACAAGATGGTCAGGAACATGCAATGCGGTTGAAATATGTTATTGACGATTCACCTCTTCTTGCTGAATCACGCCAATTCATATTAGGGAAGAGTTAGTTCGGTACTCAAAAGTTTAGTTATTACACTACAAAGTTTAGTTAGATTTTGCAAGTCTCTAACCGAGAATGTTTTTTCTCTCTCAGGAACTTGGGGAACACTATTTGTACCATACTTCATCACACTACAAACTTCTAAGTACCGATCAACTTCTAAGTACTGAAGGGTTTGTGCTGAGGCACACCTGCCGAAGAACATGAGTTTCTCACCAACTAAGAAATCAACCACAACGTAACACGTGTCAACATAAAAGTAAAGTTATAAGAGTCCCACATTGGCCGTAGACGAAAACATGGGACTCTACCCAACTGTAAAGGGAGATCGTTCTCCCACAATTAAGCTTCTTATGGTCTTTAGATTCTCTGAACCATTATTAGAACTCACTAATAATCATTATATTTAACATTTGTATCATGTAAACTCTACATTATTAATGATAACTCTTTTACGTTCGTGAACGTAACCCAACTTGTGAACAAAGATCACACCTTAACATTTCACATTGTTTTAAAATTAACCCGATTTTGAACATCAATAACTTCATTACAATAATTGAATATTAAAGATTATCCAAACGTTGAGGAGCATTATAAGTTTATAACAACAGCTAATCAGTTTATACCCCACGCAAACACCGTAATTCCACATTCCGGTCCCTTTCAAACCAGAAATCAAAATTATTCCAGCCGCGGACTAATTCCCCACACCTTCCCCGCGTGGATACGACAGTCGAGCGCCAAGCCAACACTCTCCTCAAAGCGGCGACGTCCCAATCCCGCACCGCAATGCTACTGGGAGCGCGAAAAATCCGATGGCGTCTCCGCCGTCAACATCTCAGCCTCTCCTACACTCCAAGTATCAAGCTGAACTTCCACTCCTTGTCCCAACCCAAGGTATCCCAAAAGCCAAACAGAGAATTTCACAATCACGGGAAAAACCGAAACATATCAAACTCCTGCTAACAATTCATCGTTCTCTACCAGGTCGAATCCGACGACTTCTTGCCGTGGCTGGAGCGGAAGGCCGGCGCCGAGATTTCGTCGGCACTTTCAATTGGGAAATCGGCGTACGGAACTTCTCTTTTTGCTTCAAAGAGCATAACAGCTGGAGATTGCGTTTTGAAGGTTCCGTACAGAGTGGTAAATCTTAACCCAAATTATTTAAGACTTTAATCACATTATTAATCACAGTTTAAATTGTTAATATATGATTTAAGAGGCTTTGTTTTGGTGGATAATTGCAGCAACTAGCTCCGGATGATCTCGTTCCGGAACTGAAAGATTTGTTGAGTGATGGAGTTGGCGATGCTGCAAAGCTTGCCACTGTCGTTTTGTTTGAGCAGAGAATGGGCAATGTAGATTGCTGTTCTAGTTTAATTACTATGTTGTGGAAATATTTTTTCTGTGGAGTTTGAGGGTTTTGTTTATGCAGGATTCCAGGTGGGCCCCTTACATTCGCTGGCTTCCTCGCCCGGAGGAGATGCATTGCACGGTGAGTGTTATACGATATTATCATTTGCATTCCTAGAGATAATTTGGTAGGTTATGTTGTTAGACGGTCAATTCAGACAGCATGTGTTGAACATGAATGGAAAAGAATTTAACTGAGCAATGGTTCTTACATGTAGTTGATTTGTTTGGTTGTACACATTTTTTTGAATGGCAAGAATTTGCTGTTATTGACTTGGATGTTGTTTGTATATTCTTAGATATTTTGGAGTGACGATGAGCTGGAGCTGATTCGCCAAAGCTCTGTATATCAGGAAACAATTAATCAAAGATCTCAAATCAAAAAGGAATTTTTGGCAATTAGGACGGTAAGTACTTGATTGTTTTATACACTGGTTAATGGTTTTGGGACGTTCATGCGTGAACCTCTGCCATGTATATGCTTTAAGTTTAATATCATCATCTCAATTCGGGATTTAAACTGTTGGTGGCACACATTCTTCAGAATTTGGAATAGTGGGGGTCCCGTCAACTTAATAACTTTTGAAACTTAATCAAGTCAATACTTACCTGAGATATGAGATGATTGTCAATCACTTCGTAGTTATTAACTTTTAGATTCTAATTATTGCTACGACATATTTTCAGGCTTTCAAGAACTTCCCTGAAATGTCCAAAAGTATCACCTATAAGGATTTCATGCACGCATATGCTTTAGGTGAGCTTCTCCATTTTAAAGCATTTTCACGTCCTGAACTGTCTGAATAATTTGCTTCAATTGTACTTAATTCCAATTTTTTGAATAAAATGAATGAATGCCAGCATCGGTGTAGATGTTCAATGGAATCCAATTTCATATAGTTTAGTTAGTTATATCTCCATTTACCTATATACCTATTCATTCCGATTTTATATGATTCCTGGATACAAACTATTCTAGATATTATTAGTTGCAGCAGTTGCATCTCTTAAAGATCTATACAACTTATTCTCACTGGTTCGCAGTGGATTTCGCAGTTACTTCTCGAGCATGGGGAAGCATGAAGGGTTATTCCCTGGTAACACGTTTATAAAGATTCTGTTGTAAATAGTGTTATGAGCTTTATGATGGAAGTTCAATTATTTCCTTTTTACTTATGAATTTTTGGATTTTCAATTTATTTTATAGATCCCATTTGCTGATTTTTTGAATCATGACGGCACTTCAGAATCATTAGTGTTGAGTGACAACGACAAACATTTCTCAGAGGTACTCTCTCTCTCTCTCTCTCTCTCTGCGTTTTGATTCTCTATCTCACATCTTGATTTGGTTATAGGAGTACAAGAATTTTATATTCTCCCCTTCATTCCGCACTCTTATGGAAATTGAGTCTTTTTTATGTTTTTATTGCTTTATATTAGTTCAATTATTGGGATGCTATGCTACTTGTATTTGCAGTTTTTAGCTCCCTTTAAAATTTATACATATCAGGGATATGTGTGAACAATGTTCTTGATTTTCCATGCCTGTTCTTTATCTGGGCAGGTCATTGCTGACCGCAATTATGCTCCTGATGAACAGGTTAGATGCTACTTAATTAAGATGGCTTTTTTCCCCTATTTAAAATTACAGGCACCCTTTGGAATTTCATTTTTGTTTTGAAACATTTGATCAATTTTTGTTTTTGTAGACGACTCATTAACATTTTCACTCATTTTCGTTTTAGATGTCTCTCGTTGGGTTTGAAATTTTCATGACAAAGAATTAGTAAAACTTTTTATTCCTCAGTGGTCATTGTGTGTTAACAGATAACGGATCACAATACATGAACACAGGGTCTATGTTAGAGTAAAAAGCACAATATTGCTTGAGATATGCTGTGGAATTAATATTTAGAAATTACTGGAAGTTTGGGGTTTCCTATTATTAGTATGAATGGATGGTACATGGAAGCATCCTCTGGAGCAGTTCGTGACTATGGTTATATTGCAGAAGTGGTTGTTTAAAGTTGTAACTCTGGACTGCGATTTGTATATTTGTATAGGTACTGATAAGATACGGAAAATTTTCAAATGCTACCCTGCTTCTTGACTTTGGGTTTACACTTTCATCCAACATCCACGACCAGGTCAGTCTTGGATTTCTGTTCACTATAGTCACAATGATTGCTTTGTTATGTTGGGAGAACGTTTCCGTTGCTTAATTCACACTTCTTAGTTTGATTTAACACTTTGACTAGAAGTTTGTTTTTGGTAACAAAACTATTTTCCCTTTGACTCCATGAACAAGACTACTTTTGATCTAGCACTTGCTTAAAAACCTCTTTGATAAGTTGGATGTCTTTCATGGGAGCATAGTAATTGCAATTAGTTGAGTATTTATAATCTCTTTGTTCAGTAAGTTTGCTTGAAGACTCAAGCCACTTAATTATCTGTCATCCAGTGTTAATTAGTAAGATACTGAATACACGTTCTACATCATTTCTTTCCAGATGATGGTTTTGTTATATGTAATCTGTAAATGTTATGGATGCCTTTGGTCTATTTTCAGGTCGAGATCCAGGTCAATATACCTCACCATGACGTCCTTCGTGAAATGAAGTGGGAACTTTTGAAGAGACATCACAGACCAATCAGTAATGATGTCAATGGTTTCGACTCTTCAATGGATTCTTTCACTATCAAGTTGGTAGTGATGCACTATATCTCTTTTATTTCCTTTTTTCCCCTATTTTTGTTCCTTTGCCTACATGATGGCCTTTATCCCCCGTATCTAGTGGTACTCTGTGAAGTCAAATATTCTGTTTCTTTTGTTCCATTTCCAGTCTTGTTTAATTAATGCATTTATCTGCGTGATGACTTGATATCTTGCGATGAAAATCTTTTACTGATTACAATAATCGTACGATGACATAGGGAAGTTAGGTCTGGTAGTGGAAAAGGGAAAGGAATTCCTCAGTCACTTCGTGCTTTTGCTCGTGTTCTATGTTGCGCCTCTCCTCAAGGTGTATTTCTCTTCATGTTAACTTACTCGCATGCATTGCTTAATATGCTTCTGAGCTCATTTAACCTGATGACTCATCTGCAAATAGTTTATTGATTGTTTCTTAAGTTAATATTCAGAACTTAGTGACCTGGCCAAGGAAGCTGCAGAACATGATGGTCGATTGGCTCGACGTCCTTTAATAAACAGCAGCAGAGAGATTGAAGCACATCAGATGTTGTTATCAAAATTAACCCAATTAGCTGACGTTGTGATGCATCTATCAAGGTAAAGATGCTAACTTTTTACCCCCTTCGTTTACAGAACTTGTTTAAGCTAAGTTAAACAAGAGTTCATTATTTTCTATGATAATGCATTAATTCACAAGAGCATACACCAATTACGGTTCTTTTGAATGAAGGAATTCTTAAGCATACGCAGATTGAATCAATTGACGTGTTCTAACATACTCATTTTGGTTGAGATATTAATGAAGTTGAGGAATTTTATAACTGGAGAAGTCTTAGGCGTTTGGGAAGCATTAATAAACATATGAAGAGAGTGGAATTTTAATATAATCATTTCTATGGTTTACATAATGTTGCATCTGACTACAAATGTAGTAACTCCTTTTTGTGCTTCTTGAGTGTGTGCATAGTCTTTGGGACCTATAAGTTCTCCAGTTACTTGTGAAAGACTTTCTATCCGGAGGCAAATGGCTCAGGATCTCCTCAATGGTGAACTTCGTATCCTCAAATCTGCTTCTGCATGGCTAAGAAACTACTGCGACACTTTGACTACAACAGACTGCTATAGATGATGATATTAGTTTTGCAATACCACCAAAGACTTGAGAGAGGTAATATCATCGGAGATTATTTACGTGATCAGACACAGTTACAAGTTATGGATTCATAACAACTGAACGTGAGAAACCGGGATTCTGGAAAACTAGGAGCCCACAAGATTAGGCTAATATGAAGGAAAACCCACCAAACTGGCTCTTACGCATTTGGAGCGGGAATGTGGGATATGAGGGTACAACTAAAATAGAAGACACATTTTTGCTGGGTGAATTTGGATTTCTGTGTAATGCTTTCTCAAGTGAATGAGGTTATAGTAGTAAATTTTTATAATATAGTCCACATTTTTAATAAATCCGCCTGTGTAAGTTTATCTTACACTGCCGGTCCCAAGGCCGGAAAAAGGAGGAGGGGGAGTGTGTCAGGTAGTTGACAACCGGCACTTTGTTCTTCACATCGAATTGCTATGTGTGCAGATTATTTGTCTGGGTATTTTGCTGAAACTCGTTTATTTTTTTCCTAATGTGCAGTCATTAGCGATCACCCATGAGGAGAGAAAGGAGTTTGGAGAGAAGATCAACGAGTCCTCATGACAGCCGAAGTCCTAAGCGTTGTAGGGCTTCACCTCCAGTATCCAATGGGAGGAGGCACGTTCAATCCCCCGAAGGGACGAGACCACAAGAGCAGGGTAGCCTCTCCCCGCATTGTATAGTGATTCAATGAACTAGATCTCAATTCAGATTGTGATGTAAGGACTTTAATTTCTTCAGTGCATATTAAAATCCAAGTAGATGTAATAATTTGTAATAGGATGTAAAGAAAATTTACTAAAAATAGTTTTGATAATAAAATTAAAATTAACTTACAGAAACCTTGACTGAAAGGTTTTATTAGATAGTAGCTTGAAATGAAATTGAATTCACAGTAGTGATAATAATATTCAATTCTCTAGATGCATGTGCTTTTCTTTGTGATATATATTTAACCATTTGAAAATTCTTATTGTTGTGATTGTGTTGAGCTTGTTGTGTATTTGCTTAGCTTAATTATAAATTAAGGGTGGTCAAAATTTTATTCATGCATGTTTTTTTTTCCTTTCTTCCTAGCTATCAATTTGTTGTCTAGGGTTTCAGTTTTATTCATCTTAGCATCGTTCACTGTATTTAATTTTTTTTCATTTTTTAAATAAACTACCATTTTTGCCATTGTGCTATTTGTGCAGAGAAGAGATATATCATTACAAGGAACTCAATCCAACACAACATTTACTATTAAAAGTATTCTGTGAACTCCAAGCTCAAGTCAGTCCTTAATTTTCATATACTTTTTATTTTTTCATGTCTAAGCGGTTTACATGGTTTTTAACCATTGAATCACCTATCTTTATGTTTACAATTATGTTGTTTTTTAAGCTATTTATAGCTCGAGGTGGCTTCATTGCTTCATGCAAATTAGTAGGATTTGTAAGTCCGGCAAAGGTTGGAGGTGGAGACCTACACTGGACGTGGCAACATTTGTTCTTTCTTTGATGTTGCTAGTTAATTTTGACATATTTCAGTGGGGATAGATGTACCTAGGTTTAGTCTATAATTTACATATTATTTTATTACTATTGTCTTACTTGGTCACTAAGTTTAGTGAATTATAAATAGGAATAAGGATCCTCTCCAGATCCTTTTTGTGAGGATCTCGGGAATCTGTTTATTGTGGTCATTCATCGTACATCGTGCGGTCAAAAATCATTTTAAATTTTATTATTTAAAATTGAACACAAACAATATTTGATGAAAATTAACCGCACGATGTACGATGAACGAACATGAGTTACAAATCTCCGAGATTCTCACAAAGAGGATCCGGAGAGGATCCGAATTCTATAAATAGGTGCAGCTGCCACACTTTACAATTACCCAGGAAATAAGAGTTTGTCCAGCTTTACGTTGGAAAAAAAGTTGAGAAGAAATAAGAGAGAGAGAGAGAGAGCTAGGGTTTGAGTAGTGTGCAGATGTTAGTAGGCTTGTCTTGCCAAGGTTATAGTTATTAATCGAGTTGAGTGGTATGACTGACTTTAGCGGTGTGAGTTGTATCATTTATGAATATATTCGCTGCCTTCACATCTCGGTGTATGACTGACTTGGAGTGCAAGTACGCTAGAGCTCCTGCAGTTTCCGCTGCTATCTTCATTCGTGATTCAAACGAGAGTTTAGGGTTGTTTCTGCCAAAGTGCTCAAGACAAGTCAAGGCATTGGTGGGGACATAAACCATTATGGGCCATTTTGTCTCTAAACAACAACCAAACAGCCTCCCACATTTTTGTGTTCGATTTGAGAAAGAACAAATGCCTCGTGAACCAGACGTTGACTCTGGATGAACGGGTCACCAATAACACTGTTGCACTTTTTTATGGCGATACCTCATCCATCTAATTTTGTGTGGTATACTGTTCCGTAGCGTTCATTGTTATAGTAATGATAAGTGTAGTTTCTTGTGGCCTCCTCAACTTCCTTTTCAGTAAAGCATCTTACGAATGTCCTTCTACGCAAATTCTGCACGAGTCTGCCGTAATTTTTTACAGAAATAGTTCGCGGTACCAACTCATATAAATGAATTTCAGGAACCATTTTTTCAGAATCTCACAAGCAGTTATTAGAAACTGCTTAGAATCTAAGGAAGCAATGCAGCTACGACTACTGGGAATCTTTCGCAACAGTATAGTTCAAGTATGAAATAAGCATTACCTGTACTTATGTACAGTATTTATTCGCTAATTTCTTTAAAAAACAAGCAACAAAACATATAGCTTTACTGACAGAAGAGTAGTAATAGCAAACTCTTCCACTCCACCAAATAGCAAGCTTCTCCACCCGCCCTTCCCAAAACGAAAGGAAGTGCATACCACTTTTTTTTCCAAAACGAAAGGAAGTGCAACCACATGACCTTTAAATAATGGGAGATAGACGGTTTTGATCGTTGTAAATACATTACGAAATTTTTGTGCCTTATTTCGTGCTCGAACTTTTTCCCCATTATGCTCGAACTTTTTTTCCATAGTGACCGAACCAACTTTGCGAAGGTCACATGTTGACTTTCACGTTGTTTTAAAAGGAGGTAGGTTCTCTGCCCTTCCACTTTCTATGGCCTCCCGTTTGTGTAGTCATTGTGAAGCCACGTCAACCTTTTATATTACTGTTCTGTTTTGTCTTATTATCTCTATAAAAAAATAATATAAAATATTGACGTGACTTAACTGTGACCACACAAAATGGGAGGGCACGGAAAGTGGGAGGGCAGAGAATCTGCCTCTGTTTTAAAATCAACCCGATTTTATACATTAATAGTTTCATAACAATAATCGTTGAGGAGCATTATAACAAACAGCTATTCAATTTTTGGGAAAAGGATCCTCGCCGGATCCTTTTCCTGGGATCTTGTGATCCTGATCGTTCATCGTAAATCGTGCGATCAATTTTCATTAAGTATTATTTACATTTAATTTTAAATTTTAAAATAATTTCTGATCGCACGATGTACGATGAACGATCGTGGTCAGATCCACACGTAAGGTAAAGGTCGTGATTAGGGATTGTATGACTATCAACTTAGAATGTTACTGTGAGCGCGAAAAACCCGACAGTCGAGCGCCAAGCCAACACTCTCATCAAAACGACGACGTCCCGATCCCGCACAAATATCCGATGGCGTCTCCGCCGTCAACATCTCAACCTCTCCTACACTCCGAGTATCAAGCTCAACTTCCTCTCCTTGTCCCAACCCAAGGTATCCCAAAAGCCAAACAGAGTATTTCACAATCCCGTAAAAAACCGAAACATTTCAAATTCCTGCTAACAATTCATCATTCTCTACCAGGTCGACGAATCCAACGATTTCTTGCCGTGGCTGGAGCGGAAGGCCGGCGCCGAAATCTCGGTCGGCGTTTCAATTGGGAAACCGGCGCACGGAACGTCTCTGTTTGCTTCAAAGAGCATAACAGCTGGAGACTGCATTTTGAAGGTTCCGTACAACGTGGTAAATCGTAATCCCAAATTATTTAAGACTTTAATCACATTATTAATCACAGTTTAAATTGTTAATTTATGATTTATGAGGCTTTGTTTTGGTTGATAATTGCAGCAACTAGCTCCGGATAATCTCGTTCCAGAACTGAAAGATTTGTTGAGTGATGGAGTTGGCGATGCTGCAAAGTGACGAGTGCATATTTTATCATCTATTGTACTCCGAAAACTACAATTTCTTAGATGCAATTTCGGATTTAAATGAAAGAAATGACATGTTTTGGTGTTTTTAAGATTGAATTAATGATATGGAAAATTATGCTATGTTTATGTGATTTTCATGTTAGTTTGGTGGTGTCTAATCATGTTTGGTAAAATAGTGTAGACTCATTTCCTATTATTCAATTTTTAATCAGGTTCCTTATTGCACTACAGAAAGGACCATCACGTGACCGCTTCAACAAAACAAATGCCCTTATCCTCATATTTGCACCGACATAAGAAATGATTGTTTTTCTCTACCAATTTCCAGAAGCAAGCTGGCGCACTGCAGCTTATCAAAATTGAAGCGGGATGAAAATCCATATTTCTATTCCACTCTCCAGTTTGTTAGGTTTGCGGTGGAAGCATGAATTGGGCAATTTTTTTATCTTTAATTCTCATCAATTGCAATGGAGATTTGGGTACTTTCAGATTTGGTTGTTATATCACTTTGGAGATGAAATTCCCAGCTGGAATCTAGCAGGGTAGAAAAGGACAATATGGAGGCCTCGTTGCAGCAAGTAGACCAACTTGAGTGTGATTTAGGCGTTCTATTCTTTCAAGCTTTGATCAATTTTCACAAAGTGTCTGGCAAGGAGTTAAAAGGTTTCTTCCGTTTCTTTTCTTCTAATGTTTTCAATAAATTGGCTTTTAAGCCGTCGTCGGTTACGAAAAAAAAAGGGAAATGAAAACAGAAGCAGCAGAGACACACGGGGGATGTATTTTTCGCAGGAAGAAAGGCTACCGCAGAGCAGAGGAGTTTACAGGGTTTTCTAAACTCAATTTTCTTCTCGTTTTTATTATGAATACAATGACAATTTCATCTATGTTTCGGAACTAATTTTCCTTAGCTAGGGCTACGATGTAGCCATGACTACGAATGCTTAAATTCTGAATTGAATTATTTTCAAGTTTTCAATTTCATTGAGTATTGTTTGCTGTGTTTATATGCTTGGTTTTAGTCTTGGAGATTAGCTACCATCTTGACTTTTACTTAGTAAATGTGATGCAAGTTGTGCAGATGCCATGTTTTCAACTTGAGTGATAGCTTCTTGCAAATAGATACCATAAATTACCTAGTAGTAGATGCCATACTCTAGGATTTGTGTAGTCTTTATATAAATTTCCACTGATCGTAATGAGTTTCATGATGTTAAACTATTCCAGATGCCATGGATGGTTGCAAATTGGGATATACGTAATAGTCTAGATGCCATAGATATTACATGAATTAGGGAAATTTTACTATTAATGAGATTGAGTACTTGTTAATAATTCGTTGCAGGAAATAAGTAGGATGGGTTATGGCGAGTCAGATGCTCTAGTGTTTTACTCAATTGAATTACAACTTGTTTTATTGGCTGTCATTTTTTGCATTGTGATCAAACTTTCTTGTTTTTATTTGTTTTTACTATTAGTTTCAATTCTCAAAACCATCTTTCATCAATCTTTGCTAGTTTCACTTCGTTGCAATTGGATTTAAGTTAGTTGATAAGAATTAAATCATTTTCTAAGGGACGATATTAAGTGCTTGCTTTCTATACTATCAAACGATTCGTACGCTTGCGAGCATAAACTTTGGAACTAAGTTGGACTAATTTCGGTTAGTTTAAATTTCGCAACACAAAGCTTGCCACTGTCGTTTTGTTTGAGCAGAGAATGTGCAATGTAGATTGCTGTTCTAGTTTAATTTACTATGTTGTGGAAAGATTTTTTCTGTGGAGTTTGAGGTTTTTGTTTATCCAGGATGCATTGCACGGTGACGGTTATGATATTAAGCATTTTCATGTTCTAATCCGTTATTTGATTCAGTTGTACTTAATTCCAATTTAAAACAACTAAAATGAATGAATGCCAGAAGTGTTGTAGATTTTAATGGCATCCGATTTCATATTTTTTAAATTAGTTATATCTCCATT